GAGTCCAAACTGAGAGACGGCTTAGAGAGACGGGTCCAAACTGAGAGACGGCTCAGAGACACGGGTCCAAACGGAGAGACGGCTCAGAGACACGGGTCCAAACGGAGAGATGGCTCAGAGAGACGGGTCCAAACTGAGAGACGGCTCAGAGAGACGGGTCAGAGAGAGACTAGTCAGAGAGACAGGTCCAAACGGAGAAATGGGTCAGAGAGACATGTCCAAACGGTGAGAGACGGGTCCAAACGGAGAGAGACGGGTCCAAACGGAGAGAGACGGGTCCAAATGGAGAGAGACGGGTCCAAATGGAGAGAGACGGGTCCAAATGGAGAGAGACAGGTCCAAACGGAGAGAGACAGGTCCAAAAGGAGAAATGGGTCAGAGGGAGAAGGGTCAGAGAGACGGGTCAGAAAAGTACAGGTCAGAGAGACAGGTCCAAACGGAGACAGTCGGGTCAAATCCCCCCCAGCGTCCCTCTAACTGACCTTTGGTGTTCAGGTCTGATCTGGTAGACCTTCATCATCCTCTTCTGTCGGGCGTTCAGTCCTTTGGCCTTCTTGCTGCTCCGCCTGGTTCTGTCCTTCTTGGGACGGCTGTAGTCCAGGATCAGGGCCTTGTGGGTCAGAACCTTCTGGACGTCCAGACGTGTCTGCCTCTGAACGCAGTTCCTCAGGTAGGCCTCAGTAAAGCGGGTCGCCCTGGAAACAGCATGACCCTGGGAGGGAGACGGAGAACATCAGACTGGGAGATGGTCTGAAGTTTCCAACAGAGCAGCTGAAGGACATCAGCTCACCTCCACACCAAGACGACCCTCCAGGCCAGGAGGGAGGGGCGAGTAGACCTGAGCTTCTCCTACAGGGGACAGATGGATGGACTGCATGAGGTTCATGGATATATTTCTGTGTCCACTGAGAAAGAATGTGTTTGAATCACTAATTACTCAGCAGCTGTTAGATGACCTGATGTTAATAATCCTAAATAGCTGTTCTTTAAACTGGGAATCGTCTTTTAGCATCGCTTCAGTACAGTGGTGGCTATGCAGACATCCACGGTCAGGATTTCTAGATCGCAGCATCAAATCCAGAGATTCTTCAACTGTTTTCTCATCTACATTGACTTTGGATCATTCAGTATCAAAGTTAGAGATGAAAAAGTAGGAGAACAGGCCCCGGCAACGAGCTTTTCTGGTTAAAATGGAAGTTAGAGGAAATGATGATGAAGAATGATGTGGGAAGGCTCTGAAAGATGTTTTCATTTAGCCCTAGAACTGCTTCACCATCATACTTCCAAAGACCAACAGTTTTCAGATATGAGGAACACATGTTCAGTCAGTCTACTACATATCAAAACGACCTGCCATAGCCTGTTGAGACCACAGTAACATTACGGCTTTATTTCTGGAATGATGCATTTAGCTCTGATCACCTGGCAGCAGATGAAGAATAAAAACTTTGTTCTAGATACTTCATAAATAGAACCTGTTGATCATCTCATGGGTTCCTCCTGTTGTATTGATTCAGTTTTCGTTTACACAGTTAATACTAAATACGGATGTTATCATCCCGATAAATTCTATTCAGTTTATTTCTATAGCTCCAATTCACATCATGTCATCTCAGGTCACTTCCCAGTTCACCA